GTAACTATGAGGAGGAAGAGGGAGGGGAGCTGTTGCATTGTGGTAAACTGTGGTCAATGTCATGAGACAAAGTATATGTAAATTGCTGTATGGAAAGTGAATTTGCTCTGTAAATCTTCACCCAAATCACAATAAAAAAGAAAGGAAAAAAGTACATCATTCATTTGTAAGCAAGATTCAACCAAGTCAATCTGTTCTTGGAGTTTTCAGTCCTAGGAGAAAAGCAAGAAAGAGTGAACCTGAATGGTACCTGATAGTTTTCCACACATCGAAGCCATCCAGGGGCTTGGTGCCATTTGTGTGTCCTCCTGCCAGCCTCACCAGGGTAGGCAGCCAATCAGAAATGTGGATGAGCTCCCGGTTCTTCACACCTTTCTGTTTCAGCAAGGGGCTTGCCACAAAGCCCACACCTCGAATACCGCCTTCCCACAGGGTCCATTTTCTTCCTCTAAGGGGCCAATTATTGCCTCCAGCCAAAGTCTGCCCTCCATTATCTGAAACACAATTAGGTCTTGGCATGAGGACAAGGTTGACCACTAAATACACATTTAAGAACAGAAGACTTCTGTGTACCTTCTTATTAAATGGTGTTTAAAAAAGAACAAATGAAAACTCCTTACCCTGTCCCATACCAAATATCCTTCTCCCACTCCACACTACACTCCTACTATTAAACAAAAAAACCTGAATCCAGTATGGTACATATCTTCCCTCCTCCATAAATAAAAACCAATTGCCATTAAGTGTACTCTGACTTATGGCAACTCCATGCGTGCCACTGAAAACCACAGGATTTTCACTGGCTGATTTTTCAGAAGCAGAGTGCCAGCCTTTCTTCCGAGGCAACTCTGGGTAGACTTGTCCCTCCAACCTTTTGGTTAGCAGCTGAGCATGTTAACTGTTTGTATCACCCAAGAACTCTTCTCCAGGGATAAGGCCACTGAAAAACAAGAAAGTGTCCTGATTGTAATTGCCCGGGAAAGGTTTCTGTACCAAGAAATCAACCAAGTTTCTAATGTACGTGTATTTGTGTGTGTGATTTCTCATAGCATAGAAGGATGAGTCCATGGAAGCGGGGCCGCCCCCACCCCCACCCTGTACATGAAAAGACACCTTTGAGTTCATTTCACTTAGTGACTTAAAGCTCCTGAGAAGTGGAGACAATGGACCTTTCATTTTTTTCCTTTTGGATTTTTTTTTTTTTTTTAAATAATTAAGCTGGCAATGAATTAGCATTCTTCTCACTGGTGATCTGAACTCTCTCTTAATTGTCAAAGTTGAAGATTTCTCTAGCAGGCTAAATGTCTTTGCAAACAGCAATCAGCTGGAAAAATAATTGTTTGAAAAATTCCTCCCTTCTTAACAGCAGGGCAGGGTAAAAACTGCATTGTATGCAAGGCCAGGAAAGAGGTTTCTTTTCTAAGATGACAGAGGGAATGGGGGACCTTGGTGAAGACAAAGTGAAAGTTACCAGAGTGACTGCAATTAAGTGTCTCACCAGCCAGGTGAGGGCTCAGTGTTAGACTATAGAATAAAAAGTGATATATTTTGTATACTGAGGTTGTAGAATCACACTAGCTCCAAAAATATCCATACACTTAGGTGACTTTAAAAACACATTTTAAATAACACTTATTTGCAAGTGCATTGCACGTCAATTAAAAGTTAAAAAAAAAAAAAAAAAGCATAAATTGCTATCCAAATGAACCACATGAGGGCAGTATGATGGACCTACTATATAGTATGTTGTATGTAAAAATGTAATACAGAAATCCAAGATCTACCAAAGCCACAGGATGCACATAGAAGGAAAGAGAACTACATTTATTAAGCACCTACTACGTGCCAGACACGGGGTGGTGCAAATGGTTAACTCGACATCAAACTCGTTGGACCTCCTGCTGAGAATTTGTGTTTCCACCCCAGACACACATTTTTATATATAAGATTCTATATTAAGAATCACCTGGGGATCTTGTTGCCATGTAGATTGTGATTCAGTATATCTGGGGTAGAAATGCAAATTCTTAGCATGGGATCAAACCGGAATGAACCACTTTGAAGCCCTGGATTAAGGCACTCTGCTGCCACCATTTTGTTGTTGTTGTTGTTATTTGCCGTCGAGTCGGCCCTGACTCATAGCGACCCCTCCTTGGGTTTCCGAGGCAGTATCACTACGGAAGTAGGATTGCCCAACCTTCCTTCCGAGGATAGCCAGAAGTAACTCAAAAGAAAGATTTCACAATCTACTTCTGAAAATCAGCCACTGAAAAGCCTATGGGGCACAAGTCTGCTGTGACACACACGGGGTACCCACGCATCAGAGTCAACTCAACGGCAACAGTTTTTGTTTTTTATGTGCCAGGTACCACTTTGCATTCACATTATCTCTCATAGAATCTGGAGTCTGATAGACCTGGATGGATAGGCCTGACGCTAGCTGCTCACTAGCTGTGTAACCAGAGACAATATGCTTGCCACAGTTTCCTGTTCTTTAATGTGGAGATAATCAATCCTACCTCATTATAGTGAGAATTAAATGACATTGTTTATGAACACCACTTGGCAGGGTGCCTGGTGTAACCCAAGTGCTCAGTAAACAGCAGCTACTGTTGTCACAAGGTTTTCACTGGCCAATCTTTTTTCTTTAGAAGCGAGAATGACCAGACTACATCTCACATACTTTGGTCATGTTGTCAAAAGGGGCCAGTCCCTAGAGAAGAATATCTTGCTTAGTAAAGTAGAGGGTCAGAGAAAAAGGGGAAGACCCTCAACAAAATGATTGACACAGTGGCTGCAATGATAAGCTCAAGCAAAGCAAGGATTGTAAAGATGGCGCAGGACTGGGCAGTGTTTTTTCTGTTGTGCACAGGATTGCTGTGAGTTGGAATTTACTCAACAGCACCTGACAACAACAATGCTGTTGTCATTGTTGTTTTTAATTTGTAAAACAACTCATATAGTCTAGTATTGTAATATTTACTGCTTAAAAAACAAGGCAAAACAAAAAAATAAGATTTGGATAGACCACACAGCCAGTAAGTGGCAAAGCTAGGATTCAAACAAAATCTGTGTGATCCTCAAATCCAGGCTCCTTCTGTCCCTGGAATGCCATGCTTCTGAAGTCCCTTTGTAGATATGGTTTTATACATCTAGGTCATAGAAACCTTCCCTATGAACACAGTAAACTTCTCAGAGAAAGCACTGGTTAATCTCAGCAAAGGGTGCATTCTTCCCATGACCTGGTGGAAGGAGAATTATTTTAAGGTGATTATCATTCCACATAGAAGTCGTGGTAGTGCAGTGGTAAGGTGCTCTGCTGATAACCAAAAGGTCATTGGTTTGAGCCCACAAAGGAGGTAGATGTGGTAGTCTGTTTTCGTAAAGATTTACAGCCTTCAAAATGCTATGGAATGGTTCTACTCTCCTACAGGGTTGGTATGAATTGGAATTTACTCAAGAGCAGTGGGGTTGGTTGTTTTTTTTTTTTTTTGCTTGACCATTCCCTTTGATAGAGCTTTTATCACTGGTGTGTAAGAAATTCAAGGCTCTACTGCCAAGGAGGTATCTGATCAAGCCCTTACCATACCAAGTCCTCAATTCCTTCCTGTGCTTCAAAAAGGGGAACTGAGAAGAATCTTGAGCTAGATCAGATGCAGATAATAATTCCTGAACACATACATGGGCTATCTGACCACCAATCTCATCATTTGTATCACAGGCTTGTAAGAACCTGACCTCAAACCTCACCACATCTCTTTTTGGCAAAAACTCAAGACCCAAACATTCACCCATGCCAGTTTATTGAATTTGCATTCCATTTCACATGCAAGCTTAGGCACTTACGTAGTCAAAACAATAAGAGGGTCCCATTTCTAGAAGGGGGAAATTCCTCCATGGGTTCCATTCACAGAGTAGCAGTCACCCATAACCCACGTATCAGACTTAAAAAGAAAGTACTGTGCACATGATACAAAAATGCACTGGAAAGAAATAAATTTACACTCTCTCCATGATATCAAAAATGGCTGAGACAAGCACTATTATTGCACTCATCTAGACTGCTATAAAGATATTGGCTCAATGCTCATAGAGCATGCCTGGGTCTTATGTTGTCTTCTTTTAAATACATAAGCTCCTTTGAGATACTATATGTCATATCCTTATTTTTATATTTTTATTATTAGTGTTCAATACTAACAATAATGTTCAATATTGGATGAGGATGGTGGTGGAAGTCAGAGTAGAGATGAGGGGGATAAGGGTGGCTGGGATTAGAATCTGATTCTAGGAACAGCCCTTCAGTTATGACTCAGAGAGGAAAATACTCTGGGCTGTTAAGAGAATTTGGCTGCTGCTGACACTTTAGGAGCTGAGAGGTGTTGCCACGTATTATTAGGGGAGGGTGCTAATGCCATGAATGTGACTGTTTCTGCCATTAGCTTAACTGTGATGTTTTTGCCATTAGTAATGATTAGTGTTTCTATCATCAATTATCAATGTGGTTTTCTCATCATATTTTTTCAAGAGCAGTCCAGGGAGAAAGCACTGCTGGTTGACACATCTGCAACTTCTCCTCTTAAGATTCCCTGTCACAGAGCTGACTGCACACTTGGCAGCATGAAGAGGGCAGTTCAGCTTTGCCAGGATTGGACCTCCACAGGTCACATCTGGCTTATTGTTGCTGCTTGTCCAACAAAGGAGCAGGCTGCACCGAGTCGGGACTTTAGTTAGAAGAGTTAATTTTTTCAGTTGGGTATGTGAGAAAGTAGGGGGCTGTCCGTCATTTCTCGTTGCAGTCTTGTGGACACTTCAAAGAGTTTGGCATAAAGCTGATCAGATTTACAGCAAAAATGAAACAGTCTCATTTGAAACATGGGAGAAAAGAGGGTCTCTTGGATTGCTCACTTAAGTCTGATATAAATTTAAGAAAATAAAAATCCAATAGTACCACCACCGTTCCAAATATGTTTCTTCTCATTTTCCCTCCTAATTTTCTTTTTGGCAAGAGCTAATTTTTTTTTTCCTTGTTAAGAATTCATTTTCAAGAGAAAATTTTCTTGTTTCATTTCCTGACTGACTTATGAGAAAAACTTCTAAATCAAAATAAGATGACTCCAACCAGCAAAGGAAGCTATGAAACATTTTTTCAGGGAAATAGTTTTTCAGCAACGTCTTGGCAGAGGGAAAACCTAATTATAAAACCTTTGCTGTCTAGAAAAGAAATGTCAAAATAAAATAAATGTTGTCACATACAGACTGTAAATCTCACTTTATTATTCATTATTGAACAAAAATAACTGTCAAAAAGTCATGGAAAAACATTGGTTAGCCAAACATCCAAGCATAAGCATTAAGTGTATGACAATGATGCTTCATTCCTATCCAGCTGATAAAAATTAGGGTGAAACCATGACAACAAAGACTAGCTTTTAGGACTACTCCCCAGATAATTTAAAGTTGTGGCTTGGTTGTGGAAGGCTGCCCTGAACCA